AAAAATAATTAAATTCTACAGAAAAAGGGGTAAAAATAGTGTAGAAACATAAACTTTGAAACAAATTCTGTTTTAATTTACAAAAAGAATAAAAAAATAAAAAAACAAACAGTGCAATTGTATGAATCTACAGAAGAAGTTGAAATTCACAGGAAAGCTATATTTTTACAGAGAATTAAGTTTGTTTTATGTATTTACAGAAAGTGAAAAAAAACTATTGGCGAAAAACATGTTGTTATTAAAAATAAAATAGAAACACAAAAACACCTGGAAAATTAGGCAAATTTCAAAAAATGTACCTCACTGAATTTGATTTGAAACATAAACTTTGAAACAAATTCTCCGTAATTTACAGAAAAAAAAAAACAAGAAAATTATTTTTTAAGAATCTTCAGAAAAAAGATGAAAATAGTGTAAAAATAGTAATTCACAAAAAAATAATTAAATTCTACAGAAAAAGAAGTAAATTTCCTCGCAAATTGCCGGAAAATCCCTTTTTCACTCACACAAAAAGTGTCTTTTTCGCCTTCCATTTCCGAAATTTATCTTTGATTTCCTATTAAGCTGTTATGTGCAGATGCGCGACCTCCGCCACGACAATCTCAACGCTTTTATCGGCGCTTGCACCGACCCCCCAAACATTTGCATAGTCACCGAATATTGCACAAGAGGCAGTCTCAAGGTGAGTTAACACCCCGAGAAAAACCACCCCCCAAAAAAAAATTAGGACATTTTAGAGAACGACGATGTGAAACTCGACAATATGTTCATTGCATCTCTAGTCGGAGACATTTTAAGGGTAATTTTGAAAAAAAAGGGGGTGGAAAATGAAATTTTCCTATTTAGGGGATGATTTACCTCCACGACTCCCCCGTCCGATTTCACGGAGCTTTGCATTCAGCCAATTGCTTGGTGGATTCGCGATGGGTGGTGAAATTGGCCGATTTCGGCCTCCGGGAGTTCAAAAAGGGGGCGGAGGAGCCCGGAGTCAAAGATCCGGGGAAAGTCCGGGAAAAGTGCTACCGATTATTGTACAAAGCTCCCGAATTGTTGCGACTACAAGGCCAATTAGGGAGTCAAAAGGGTGACATTTATTCCTTCGGGATCATACTATACGAGTTGCATAGTCGACATGGCCCTTTCGGGACCACTGAATTGACCTACCCGGAAATTCTCAGTAAAATTATACACAATCCCGGACCACAACCCTTCAGGTATTTGAGAAATTCGCCTGAATTTGGCTGAAACTGGGTTTCAGGCCGCCACTTGAAGCGCTAGAAAACAGCTTCGATTTTGTGAGAGAGTGTCTGAAAGAGTGTTGGGCTGAAAATCCTGAAGAAAGGCCCGATTTTAAAAGCATCAGGACCAAACTCAGYCCTTTACGCAAAGGAATGTTAGTAGTGTTATCAAATTAATTACAAATTAATTAATTAATAAATTAATTAGGAGACCAAATATTTTCGATAACATGATGGCAATGATGGAGAAATATGCGAATAATTTGGAGGTGTTGGTCGACGAGCGAACCGATCAGTTACAAGAAGAGAAGAAGAAAACAGGTGAGTTGTTTTTCAGCTGAAAAATTTTTCAGTCCGCGTTTCAGAGGCGTTYTTATATGAAATGTTGCCGCGGCCTGTTGCCGAACAACTGAAACGGGGGAACAAAGTCGAAGCTGAAAGTTTCGATTGTGTGACGATTTATTTCAGCGATATTGTTGGGTTTACAGCCATGTCGGCTGAAAGCACGCCGTTACAGGTGATTTCAGGAGTGCGATAATTTTTTTTTTAATTTTCTTCCTCAAGGTTGTAGATTTTTTGAACGATCTTTATACTTGTTTCGATTCGATTATCGAACACTACGATGTTTATAAAGTGGAAACAATCGGGGATGCCTATATGGTGGTATGAAATAATTTTCAGGAACAAATATCTGGGCTTGCAGTTTATTTTTTTTATTTTCAGGTCAGCGGGCTTCCAATTCGGAACGACAATCAACATGCGGCTGAAATTGCCTCTATGTCTTTACATCTTTTAGCTGAAGTTAAACAGTTTACGATCAGACATCGACCCAAAGAGAAATTAATGCTGCGAATTGGGATTCATTCAGGTGAGATTTTTTAGTTTCAGGCTTAAATTCAGACGCTTTCTGACGAAAATTTGAAAACTGTGAGAAAAAACAAACAGAAAAAAATTTTTAGACGTAAAATCTCACACAATTCTGTTTAATTTTTTATGTTTTTTTTTTGTTTATTTATGTTAATTTTTATTCGTTTTTCTTTATTTCTTTTCTTTTTTTGGGTAACCTTGATTTTTTTCGTTTTCTGACTCGTATAAATAACTTTCCAAATTAATTTTATGAGACCATATGGAGATTATTTTCTAGCCAAAATTCGAAATTTTGAAAAAAAAAACAAAAATAAAAAGTTTACAATTTCGTCGCAAAATTCAGGTTTTCTAAATGTAAACTTTCACGTTAATACAAATTCTGTTTGATTTTTATTGAATTTTGAGTTTTCTTGAGAGTTCAATGGATTTTTGTTGAAAAGTTTGTTGAAAAATATATTCAGTGTTTTTTTGAGAATTTTCCTTGGGCTTTTTTTGAGTTTTGTTAAGTGATAATTATAATTTAAGTTTTGTTGAGAGTTTTCTTGAGAATCGATTTTTGTTGAGTTTTGTTGAATAGGAATTTAGTTGAAAGTTGTTGATTTTTTTCCATTTTTTAGCGAAAATTTGAAAATTTTAGAAAAAAGAAAAATAATTTTTTTTTAAATGTGTCCCAAAATTTAAGTTTTCTGAACGTAATATTTCACGATAAATACAAGTTTTGTTTGATTTTTCATGATTTTATAGGGGTTTTGTTGAGTTTTACTAAATTTTGTTGAGGTTTTTTGAGTTTTGTTGATTTTTGAAGAGTTTTCTGAAGAATCTTGTTGAGAAATTTGTTAATTTTTTTGAATTTTGTTGAGAATTTTATTGAAAGTTTTCTTGATAGTTTTGTTGATTTTGGTTTAGTTTTTAATAATAATGACATAATTTGAGTTTTGTTGATATTTGTCGAATGTTTTCTTAAATTTTTATGAATTATGTTGAGTTTTTTGAGTTTTCTTGTGGGTTGATTTTTTAATTTTTTTTATTTGCTTCAAACGCCCATAAACAATAATCTTATTGCTTTTGTTGAGTTTTATCGACTTTAAACTCACATAAATAACTAAGAAAAATAAATAATAATTAAAATAATAATAATAAAGTTAATAATAATAAAAATAAAATAATAAAAATAAATAATAAATGGGATTTCTGAGACCGGACGGAGACTGTTTTCTAGAGAAAATTCAAAAATTTGTGAAAAAAGTTTCAAATTTTACCGCAAAATTTAGGTTTTCTAGATGTAAATAAATACAAATTCTGTTTGATTTTTCTTGTTTTTTTGGTTTTCTTAAATTTTTTGAGTCTTGTTGATTTTTCTTGAGTTCTTTTGAGTTTTGTTGAGGGTGTTGTGGAGATTTTTTTAGGGTTTTAGAATTTTCTTAAGTTTTGATGTGTTTCATTAGGAGTTGATTTTGTTGATTTTCTTGTCGATTTTGTTGATTTTTTTCACAATTTTCCAGATATTTTGTCCTTTATTTCTCGAGTTTTTTTGGTGATTTCTCGTTTTTTTGTTGATTTTTTTTATAGATTTTGTTGATTTCTTTTGTCAATTTTCCTGATTTTTTATCGTTTTTTTTGTTGATTTTTTGTGATTTTTAACTTTTATCGATTTTTATTTGTCGATGTTTTGGTTGATTATTTGTCGATTTTTATTTTGTTATTTGTTGATTTTTTGTTATTTGTTGATTTTTTGTTAATTTTCTGTTGGTTTTTTGTTGATTTTTTTGATTTTTTTAGTTAATTTTTTTGTTGATTGTTTTGTTGATTTTTGTGTTGTTTTTTGTTGATTTTTTATTGATATTTGTTGAATATTTGTCGATTTTTTGTTGATATTTGTTGATCTTTTTGTTGATTTTGTTAACTTTTTGTTGATTTCTTACTTAATTTTTTTATTTTTTTTATTTTTTTGTTGATTTTCTGTTGGTCTTTTGTTGATTTTGTTGATTTTTTTAGTTAATTTTTTTGTTGATTTTTGTGTTGTTTTTTGTTGCTTTTTATTAATTTTTGTTGATTATTTGTCGATTTTTTGTTGATATTTGTTGATTTTTTGTTGATCTTTTTGTTGATTTTGTTGACTTCTTAGTTAATTTTTTTTAGTTAATTTTTTTGTTGATTATTTGTTGATTTTTTGGTTGATTATTTGTTAATTTTTTTTGATTTTATTGATTTTTTAGTTGATTTTTGTGTGACCTTGATTTTTTTAGGCCCAGTTTGTGCTGGTGTTGTCGGTTTAAAAATGCCCCGCTATTGCTTATTCGGCGACACCGTCAACACAGCAAGTCGAATGGAATCAACAGGGAGTCGTAAGTCCCAAATCCCAACCCCTAACAAAAATTCAACTAAAACTTTCCAGCATTGAAAATTCATTGCAGTACCGAATGCAAAGACCTTTTGCACAAACTAGGTGGRTACAACCTCGTCGAACGCGGCCTCGTCTCAATGAAAGGAAAAGGCGAACAACAAACCTTCTGGCTCCTCGGCGAAGACCCCCACTCCCGCAACCTCCGCAAAGAAGAGCGCGAAAAGCGCCGAATCAAAACCGAAACAGGAGCCAAATCGTACAAAAACGGCCAATTGGACCCCAACGGCCACTTCATAATCACCCGAAGCTCGTTAAAAAACAAAAACAGCATAGTCCGGAGCCCCATTCCGCGCTGCTCCTCCTTCGAGAGCCCCAAGAAGCTCCGCTTCGCCAGCGGCGACAACCTGGAGAAGAAAAGCGACTCGAACTTCCTCGAGGTCATCTCCGACAGCAGTCCTTGCAAGAACAAATCCTCCAATTCGCTCGATTGCTGCAGCGAAGCCTGGAAAACCTCCAGCACCTCGTGTCCTTGTATCGAAAATTTGGCCAATTCGGCGGCGACTCTCGCCCAATCCCAACTCTCAATGCTCTACAAAGACGAGAAAAACGTCAAAATGGTCAGACCAACGTGTTATAGTGTCCCAATGTTGTGCTCCTTGGCCGTTCCAAGACCTGTTATCCACACCATTTCGGCACCCACCAGTCCCAGGAAACTGGATCTAGTCGATTTGACCAAGTTTCCAGAGTGCGAGGAAGTCATCCCGTGGGCCGACTCCACACCCCTGCTCAAAATCACCAAACCCCAAGACTCGGAAACGGGGGTCTAACATTTTTGTTGCGTTTTTGGACTTAAGGCTCGTGTAATTTCTATTTATTGATGTTTATTGTATAWTATACGGACGTAACGGACTTTTATTTATTCCTCGAGTTGATTGTGTGACTAGAAAACCCGTTCCAAAACCAGGGTTTTAGAAACAAAAAGAGAGAGAATGTATTGCAGGTAACCTAACCTCAAAACAGTTTGAAACTCAATTTCACTCCAGTCAACAAAATTGAGGTTTTTATTATCTTATTGATGATTTTTTAACGATTTAAACAATTTGGTCTAATTTAATTCGATTTGAATGATTGAGTGACACTGAACAATTTTTTTTTGATCACAACTTTACTAGATTGGATCGAAAATATTGATGTATTTTTATCTTTCTCGAATATTTTTTCAGCTAGAAACACAATTATTTCAGAAAATTCCATAAAAACAATGCAATAATTCGACACATTTGACCAAAAATCGGCGTTATTTTTGCCCTTTTCAAGTGTTTAAGAGCACTTTTTTGAGATAAAAACAAAGAAAATTTTAAAAAAATTACAAAATTAAATCGAAATTGATAGTTTGTTGATTGAGTTCGTTTTTGAACTAGAGGTTCATTTATTTTGCAAAAATCTTCTACAAACACGATTAAAAATCACAAAAATGATTGATATTGATATTATTTTGTTCGTTTCACTCGATTTAACCGGTRTTTAACAAAATAACACAAAAATAAACCGAGAAAACACAAAATTTGGCCAAAAACGCTTTTAAACACGTTTTTGTACTAAAATCTCAGCTTTTTCGCTAGATTTCGCTAAAACAAACTAAATAATCAAGAAATTAAGTCTAAAATTACATTATTTTTGTATTTTTCGACTGGTTTAGAGCTAGAAACGAAATTATTATGCAAAAAAAGTCGAAAAATCACAGAATTCCGCCGAAAAGCATGCCATTTTTGCTTTTTTAAAGAGGTTAAGCAGGGTTTTAAGTTTAAAACTGTGTTTTTTCATGCGATGTGGGCGAAACAAATCGGATCTGGTAAATTTTATGTTTTTGATCTTGCAACACTGATTTCTATAAAATCAGTGTTGCCAGATGTGGTGAAATTTCACCAGATCTGGTGATTTTTATATTACTTTAATGATTTGTTGAAAAGTTTTGTAAAAATTCTAATTTCTGAGGATTTTTTAGAAACGTGACTGTAGTTCCAGCAGAAAATTAATATATTTTTAAATAATTTTTCGAGCATTAAATTTTATAATTATTGATATAGTAAATTCATTCAAAAATGATGACACTTTTTTTGTATTATTTTGAGCATTTTGCACGGTTTTTAGCCAGGCAGAAACTCAAATGCTAATTTTCTCAAAAACAAGGTTAAAAATCGCTTAAATGAAACAAAAAGTACATTATTTTGTACATTTCTGATCGTTTTAGAATGTTTTTAGCCAGAAACAAAGCTATTTTGCAACATTGCAAAATCTTAGCGTGAATTTCGCTCGATTTAGTTCGTTTTTGAACCAGAGACTCATTTATTTTGCAGGATATTGTCAAAATATGCTTAAACACAACAAAAATTACAAAATTTAGTCAAAAACAAGCCACAAATTCAACAAACTAGCCCAAAAACGGCGTGTTTTGTCTTTTTAAAAGACAAAAACACAAAAGTTTGAAATATTGCATTGAAACAGGATGAAAAATTACAAAATTAAATCGAAATTGATATAATTTTGTAGCTTGTTCGCCCGATTTAGTTCGTTTTTGAACCGGAGGTTGATTTATTTTTCAAAAATCTTCTTCAAACACGCTTAAAAATCACAAAAATGATTGATATTGATGTTATTTTGTTTGTCCCACTCGATTAACCGGTTTTTGAGCAAAATAAGACAAAAATAAGCCGAGAAAACGCAAAATTTGACCGAAAAAAAATCTGATTTTTCTCAATTATTACGCAAAATTTTGACGAAAACAAGCAGAAAAAATCACAGAACTCAGTTCTGGTGATTTTTTGTTCTTGATCTGGTAACACTGGTAATGTGGACGTTTCTGAGCTTGTATACCCACCGTACCAGTGGCGGCTCGTTTTGTAATTAAAAAAGGAGACGTTTATTACGACGTAATTAAATTAGGAAATACATTTATTCTATAAAAAAAAAAAGGGTTTTGAGCAAAGATATGTATATTTGGTCAAAACGAAATCTCCTAATCCCAAAGCATTGATCAACTTCCGTCTCAAAGTTTCACCTGAGGGTAACCTATAAAAAACAAATGTAAAATTGCAAGTAATATACATCTTTCCTGAAAAATTTTAATAAAACGAAACCAAATTTAAAAATTTCAAACCTATAATTCATGGCAAAAATTTACCCCTTATAAACCTCATTCTACGCCTATGTATTGTTTACAAATTGTGAGTTTACTTATTTGTGGAAAGAAATCGAAGATTTAGGGGATTTTGCACACTACATAGGAATAAACCATAGCGTTTTATGTAAAAACAGTGCAAAACACACTTAAAAATTGGAAAAATTACGATCAAAAAATGTGACAGCTGTCGACTGTCAAAAACAATAGGAATCGACCAATCACAAGCCATGTTTCTATGAACTTTAACCTAACCTCAAAATGGTTTGAAACTCAATTTCACAGGTTCTAGTCATCAAAATTGAGGTTTTTATTATCTCATTGATGATTTTTTAACAATTCGTGACAATTTGGTTTAATTTAACTCGATTTGAATTGAGTGACAGTTACCTAACCTCAAAGTGTGACAAGATCATGAGGATGGATATTTTGTCTGCAAATAGCGAGAATTTGCTCTCAATTTTCCCCCCCATCTTACGCAAGAACTTCAAGGAGTTGTTTTTGCACGGGAAAATCGGTAGTCAACTTTTTTGGGTTAATAAAAATTAATTATTATTTGTAGCTTTGACTCCTCTTGCCTTGACCGATGTTAGACCCACAAAAAGCTACACTCATGATAATCTGAGTTATTCATACGCCGTGAAGGTGCCCTACGCCAGTAAACGCCTCAATTGGGAGTTGATTTTCTCCCCCGAAGACACGAAATTCGCCCCCGATTTTAACTTCAACGACGACTCCTTTCATTTGGCTTACGACATCGATTCAGTCGTTGCGAATGTCCCCAGTTTGGAGCAGTGGAACGTGCACGACCCCAAATCCCTCTTCACAGTATTGAAACAATTCGTGGGGCTATACAAAAAGCAACAACTCGAGAAACTCAACGACAATATCTACGCCCATGTTAATTTCGAGTATCAGTCACTCGTGAGGGAAATCAACCCGAATGAAGTCGAGGTTTACTTGGAACACACGGGGGCACACTTTCTCATAAGTGTGAGAGTTGACGTTGCAGCCCTACCGGAGTATTTGCAACCAATCATGTAATTCCTAATRCCCCACTTGTGTGTTTTTTGTCTCATGATTGGTTCCAGGAGCGGGCAAAACGATTTTTTGAACCCCGGCGACGACACGTGTTACTTGAAAGTGTCGTTCGTGAAACTGGACGGCTCACGTGTCAACACCTCCCTACAATTGTCCCCACGTGTCGACCAGTTGGTAAATCGCAAGTTTTTCCACTTTCCCGACTACTCCAAYCACTCATCGCTCCCGAAATACGTGAAAAGTGTCACTGATTTGCTCCAAGAACACATTGAAAAACTTGTAGTTTACCACAAACTCAAGAAAGAGTTCATGACTTGTCTTTGCACAATACATGGGGAAAATATGCTCGAATTTGACACGGAAAAGTTTGACAAAGCTGTTGTTTTATTGGAAGTCGATGATTACCATTGTCTTGTGCAAATTGAGATTGGTATGAATCGCCGGTTAATAAATTAAACGCTTTCTTTACACTTGGGTAGACATACAGGSTGTTCGGTCCAAGTCGATAACACCTAAATTTACTTTTTTTTTCAAAAATTAAATTTTTAAATGATACTATTCATTCCTCGCTTTCTTAGTAAATGCATCAATTTTTTTTGGCACATCCGGTGTAGCKGGAAATGCTACCAAATTTAGTTTTTCAAATGGAACACTTGTGTTTTTTTGCTCAAAACAATCATAATTGGTATGAAAAATACGGTAAACCACTATTTATTACATTTTACTTRACATAATGCACTCAGAAAAMAATTTAAATTTTTGAATTTTATTGCAAATTTTGGCGGATTTTACTTGTCAAGGTATTCYTGCTTAGATACCGTTTAATTGTTAGTTTAACAAAGCCTAATTTGTCCATAAATCTTATTGAGATCTTTAATAATGGYTGATATTAATTACGACGAATTGGTAGATCAGRTTGAAGTGTTTTTTAAGTGCAATAAAAATAGAGCGGAAGCTGAAAGACAGCTGAAATACTCAAATAGAGTTCACCCAAATCGATGGAAATTTTCTTAAAAATAAAAAACCTGTGGTTTTTTAAAAATTCTAAGATTTAAGATGTTTTTTGATTGCATTGTGTTACGCAAAATGTAATAAATAGTGGTTTACAGTATTTTTCATGTCAATTATTATTGTTTCGAGCAAAAAAACATAGGTGTTCCATTTGAAAAACTAAATTTGGTAGCATTTCCGGCAACACCGGATGTGCTAAAAAAATTTGATACATTTATTAAGAAAGCTACGAATGAATATTATTACTTAAATATTTACTTTTTGAAAAAAAGAAGTAAGTTTAGGTGTTATCAGRCGGGGCGACTTGGACGGAACTCSCTGTATATCAAAATTTCCCGATGGTGGGGGGCGAGCTCGAGGAGGGGGACGGGATTAAAGGTGTCTTTTTTTGGTTTTTTGCCTATATCTCGGAAATTTTCATTTTATCTTCTTATCAAAATTATACCAGGTGAATAAAAATTATGGAACCAAACGTTTTTTGCTTAAACTATTTATATTTGAAAAAACCAATTGATGAGTGCTAAAGTACTATAAAAATGTGATGATTTAACAAGAATAAAATTTTTCAAAATTTCCTTTTATTTTTGAGTTCTCCAAAAAAAATTATTTTTTTTAAATGACAACCCTCTATAAAATCATTTTTCTCATAAAAGCTATACTCTAAGGATTACAACTATCTGCTTTATTTTTAATTTTTTCACAAATTACAATTTTGACAAAAAAAAATCGCATAACTCAAAAACAAAATTTTGTTCTGAAATTACGATCACATTTTTTATATTACTTTAATTTAATTTATAATAATTATTATTTTCCGGAGGCAAATGATTAAAAATAAAACCGCTTGGTTCCATACTTTATATTCACCCTGTATGTCTACCCAAGAATAAAGAAAGCGTTTAAAAAAAATTCCAACTCTCTAGGATTTTTTTCCACCGATTTGTCTAATTTGACTGGGCTATAAGAAAGTWTTGATTTGTTTTTTTAGGGAAAATTTTCCCCGAGGAYAGACCCACAGTGACCCTAATTTCGATCAATTGCCACCCTTTGGGGACCACTTGTCGCGAAAAAATCAACTACGAGTATGACCCTCACGCAACACCTGAGGAAATGTTGGCAAAACTGATCGATTCTCTCAGCGAAAACATCCAAAATTTCAAGAATCACCAACACTGATGATAAAAACAACAACTTTATTTACAATATTTGACTACAATTGAAACGAATAAGATTCTTATTTATTTAAATAAATCTTTATAAGTTAAATTAAATAATTGCTCCAATATCATAAACAAATCTATCACACTTAATGGTGGATCTTAAGATACGCATCCTCGAATAACTCCAACTCATGTGCCAAATAATTGGCTTTATTCCTCAACACCTTCGCCCTCCCTCCCGCATTCTCCAAAGTGGCCACCCCCTTCTCCAACTCCTTAAACTCCTTATCCATTTCACCGGTCGCTTCATCAACCACGTGACACAACCGTGCAAAAGTCCCACTCAACTCTTGCTGTACTTGATGACTACAATTCGCCGATGTTAAATCAACAATCATTTTCAATTTTCGAGTCGCATGATTGACATATTGTCTCTTAAAACTCTTCTCTTTCGCTTTATTCGTCCACGTGAGACGTTCATAGAGATAAAGACAGCTGTAGACAGCCCCCGTGACTGCAATAATCCTCCACCCGACTGTCTTAAACAAAAAACCGGCGACTAACAAACACCCCATTGTCCCCTGCGAGGACACGCCCATTATAGCCAAACGCGAAATCAACGACCAATCCTCGATGATCGAAGGCGGGCCGCCGTACAACATTCTGCCGTCGTATTGGTCGGTTGGCGTGGAGGGGATGACTGAATTCTGTGGACTCTCGCGTTTGTTTTTCAATGCGAGGAAATTAGCGCCACTACCGGCAAAACGTTGAATTAATGTTGTAATCCCCCATGAGAATCTAAACTCAAGATCCTCCTGAAAATCGGCACATAAATTATCGCAATTTAAACGATACAAAATCTCAAATGGTTGTCTTCGTGGTAATATAAAATTTGAAGCTGCTTTGTGATTTTCCGGTAGTAATTTCTCCATTCTTTCAGTCATTTCACGTTGACTCGCCTCCATATTCATTGCTAAAGCGGTCGAAAGTCGAGCTTTTAAATTCGAACCAAGACCGGTTTCAACATGCAAATGTAATTCTTTTTTATAAACATTCAAAACTAACGGTTCTGGATGAAATGGTAAATTAAATTCGTCAACAAGTGTACTCAAACGACGAATTTCCTCGTTTAAAGCTTTAGAAACGCGCTGTTCTACATCTTCAACCATTTGATGAATCTTCTGCTTCATTTCTTGCGTTATTACAATTAATTGTTCTTCAGTATAGTTGATTTTGTCGTTGACTTCTTTCTTCAAACGCAGTTTTTCTTCCTTCAATGTCTGCGRATCGTTGTAGATGTGGTCCAAAACCTCGCGAAGCTCACTGAAAAAAAAAAAAAAACGATTTAGCACCACGTGACTTGACAGTTGCTAGGCAACTCATATCATTACCTAGCAACTATTCACTCAGTTGCTAGGCAACTCATTATTACCTAGCAACTATTCACTCAGTTGCTAGGCAACTCATTATTACCTAGCAACTATTCACTCAGTTGCTAGGCAATGGTTTTGTTACTCAYATGTCTAGATTTAGTTTCAACTAACTTTGCTATGAATTTCCCGCGTTGTGAATGTTGTTCAAATTTCGTTTTGACGGCCGATTTCGAAATACATTCTTCGAATTTTCGTTCGAAATCCTGAAATTCGAAATATCGTGTTTGGAAACCTTCGGTAAGTGGTGTTGAAACTGTTTGTCCTTGTTCGGCTAYWCGTGCTTGTAGTACTTCTTTAGCCGAAATGAAAAAAATTCGTTCTTCGGCCTCTTTCGGTGTACAAACTTTTAATTCTTTGACGAGAAAATCAACGGCACGTTCTTGATGTTGTCGTCTAACCTGTGTGTAATTCATGTGAAATTAATTGAGGAGGGGAAAAATTCACATTGACGTGAATCCAACACTCACCTCTTCCTGTTCATTGCAATGCTTAAAAATGCGAGAAAAATCAATGTACAAGGTGGTTGTAGTTTTAGAGCCAGCGCAAAAAGAAATATTTCTAGTGTAAACCCTTCGGTTAAGTTCGGAAAATGCTCGGAACGCTTCTTTAAAAATTTATTTAAAAAAAAGTACTGACTAAAAAACAATTTTATTTAATTAGTGGTCATTTTTCGATCATAATCTTCAATCAAAAAAAATATCATGATGGGTTGCCATTAAAAAATTTTTTTTTTTTGTAAAACTCGAAAAACTAAAAGAAATTTCAAAAAATGTTATTCTTGATAAATAGTCACCTTTTAATTGTACTTTACACTACATTGATTATTTTTTTCGTAAAGTGTTTAGTTTACGAAAAAACGCTTGGTTCCATACTTTTTATTCACCCGGTATGGAGAATAAAATTCAATTAACTGGAATTTTTTGTAGATGATACAATTCTTTGATTTTTTTTCTGTGTTTTATGAAAATAGAATAATGATAAAGTTGATAGGTTTTGAATAATTAACATTTTAATATTGAAAACCTGAAACTTGGAATAATTAAAATGTTAATTACTCAAAATCCATCAACTTTTACATTATTCAATTTTCACAGTTACTATTAGAAAAAATCAAGGATTTTATCATGTAGAAAATATTCCAATTAATATTTTTTTACAATAGTAAAATAATAATAATAATAATAAAATAATGCAACTTTAAAAATTTATTAAAAAAAAAGTACTGACTAAAAAACAATTTTATTTAATTAGAGGTCATTTTAGATCATAATCTTCAATTAAAAAAATATCATGATGGGTTGCCATTTAAAATTTTTTTTTTCCAAAACTCTAAAACTAAAAGAATTTTCGAAAAATGTTATTCTTGATAAATAGTCACATTTTAATTGTACTTTACGCTACACTAATTATTTTTTTCGTAAAGTGCTTAGTTTACGAAAAAAACGCTTGGTTCCATACTTTTTATTCACCCGGTATAGAGAATAAAAATTCAATTAACTGGAAAATTTTGACAATTTTATTTAATTAGAGGTCATTGTTAGATCATAATCTTCAATTAAAGAAATTATCACGATGGGTTGCCATTTAAAATAAAAAATTTCCCAAAACTCGAAAACTAAAAGAATTTTCGAAAAATGTTATTCTTGATAAATAGTCACATTTTAATTGTACTTTACGCTACACTAAAGTGTTTAGTTTACGTAAAAAACGCTTGGTTCCATACTTTTTTTTATTCACCCGGTATGGAGAATAAAAATTCAATTAACTGGAATATTTTGTACATGATAAAATTCTTTGATTTTTTTTCTGTGTTTTATAAAAATCGAATAATAATAAAGTTGATAGGTTTTGAATAATTAACATTTTAAAATTGAAAACCTGAAACCTGAAATAATTAAAATGTTAATTACTCAAAATTAATCAACTTCTACATTATTCAATTTTCACAGTTACTATTAGAAAAAATCAAGAAATTTATCTTGTAACTAATATTTTTTTTTAATCAATTAGAAACATTTATTTTTGCGCCGACTTTAAAACTTGGGACACCCTGTATGAATTATAAAGAAAAACTAATTTAAAAAAAGCGTCAAATCAAAAAAATAGTGACAAAAAGCAATGCAATGCAAACAAAAATCGAGGTGTTTGCGAATTTCCATCACCCACCTGATCCAAAAACTCTGGTTCGGTTGCAGAAGCATCCCATCGATTATTCAAAATAAAAATGTTGGGTTTTGAGAGTCGAGTCGAAACTTTATGAAAAAAATTCTTCTCCTAACAATTCAAATTATCAAAAAAAAATCAACAAAAAAAAAGTAATTTAATTACCGTAACCATAAGTGTCGATTCAGCATTAGCGACTAAAACAAAAACATCAGCATCTAAACAATGTTTGTCAATCCATTCGTCTAAATTCGGCGTAACATCAACTCCTGGCGAATCAACAAAAACAACATCGTCTCGTAACAAAAGACAACGATTTCGTGGCCAATAAACACGCACCATTTGCGATTCATTGAGTTTTTCCTTGCATAAAGCGTGTGCTAATTGGCCGACTGATTCCACAGCGCAATGTTCAGTGGAACCTTCAAGAACCAAATATGGTTCATCAGATGGGGAACCTTCAACTTGTAGAAAACAATTGGTAGTGTGCCCAATCCCAGATGGGAGGATTTTATCACGCAACATGGCATTAATTACTGAACTTTTCCCATTGGAAGTGCGCCCAAAAAACGCAACTTTCATATGGTCACGACTCAAAACATCCCGAATTCCGTGTACTTTACTCACAAACTCTTCGGTTTTCCTCACTCTATCTTGATTTACGATTTCTTGGAGTTTCTCGATTTCTGGGGGAATTTCGTTAGTTTTTTTCAAATGTCACTCTTCACTCACACTCACCATGCATGTATTCAACAGCATCCTTGACGTAGTCTTCAATTTCGCCGAAAATATCGTTGATTTTCTTCTTCGCTTTGACGAAAATCTGCAAGGGGGAGTTGTCAGTGGCTTGTCGGGGGCCTCTGGGGTCAACCATGCTCGCAGGTATGGCTTTATTATGGGGGCCATCGCCCGACATTAACGAAATCGTGCGGTTTATGTAAGCAGCCATGAAATGGGGTGCCAATCTACCATGCAGCAGCAACTGAAACAAAAATAACAAACTTAGAAACATTGAGTGTTTTAATAAGCGACATGCGATCGGTGTGACACGTTTCACACATAAATTGTGAAAAAACCTGCTCGTTTGTGGGCATTTCGACGACTGGGGCCTGGAGTGATCTAACCTCAAATTACAGTCCTCGAAAAATAAAAATTGATACAATTTACGGTGTGTTTATATCAAAACGGGTCAATACATACCTAAAGCGCATTAAATGTATATAAATACGTTATTTATAACACCAAAAATAAATAAAACGGTATAAATATATTTATAGATGACTTGACACGAAAACTGTCAAACTATTCAATTGTTTCGTATCTAGAGAAAATATTTCAATTAATAATAAGTTCCATACCAATAATTGTCATCTCATTGGGTGAATTAACTTACATTTTGGATTTTTTGATTACGTAATTATTATTTTTGAGGCGATTACTGCAAAGCACGAGTTTTTGATAATTTCGACAAATTGACATTTATTTGGGAATTTTATCTCCCACAGGTTGGCATTACAACAGTCAATTAAAATATTTGTCGACAGTTTAACAATTTAAAAGACTCAAAAAATAAATCAATAAAGATTTGTGCACAATTGGTATTAACAATTTCTTTAAAATTATGTTAAAATCAGAATAAATTGGTGGAGAATTTGAATTTCATTTTTGTTACGTTGGTAGTTTTGCACCAACTGTCACCGATTGTTGTCTTAACTGTCATTTCGATTTTTACAAATTTCAGGTAATTTCCCGTAATAACCACACAAGTGTTTTAATTTTGTTTTTGTGGTTGCAGTCATGAGCGACCAGGAGTCGGAGACCCCCCCCGAGATGAGCCCCCACGACGTGGAGAAACAGGAAGAGGCGAAACTCAAAGCCAAGTACGCGGGGTCGTCGGGTGCCCCCAACCGACTCATGGGGGGTCATTCGGCCTTCCTGCAGAAACGTTTGGCCAAAGGACAGAAATTCTTCGATTCGGGGGATTACCAAATGGCCAAGCAGAAACTAGGAGGTGTGAATAAGGTGAAAACGGTCCCTGTGCCTGGATTCACCACTGGTGAAGCAATCCCGACGCCTGAGACTGTACCCGCGAGAAAAACGTCCATTATACAACCGTCTAAATTCACGTCGAATGTCAGCTAGTTTTTTAAGTAACGTTTAAGTTTGTAGTTGTTGGTTCCTTACTAATTTATTTTGTTTATTACACACTTTTCACTAAATGGGATTCAGATATTGGCATTTTTTAAGTACTCAATAAATTTTTTCTTTCCAATGTTTGAGTGTGTTTGAATTTGGCGCCTGTGACAAGTGTCGAAGCAATGGGCAAAAATAAAATCCCTAGTTTAATGTCAAAAGTTTGAGGTTATGTTGATCAAATAAGCTTATTTCTACTCAAAAATGAGTTGTGAGTATTTGTCTAAAACCATAACTTTGAAGGATTTTGATCGAATTTGCCGGACTTGTCTCGGAGACAACCAAATAAGTCCTATCATGGATACACTAATTGGGGACCTCAAAYCAGTGGAATTGCTCGACTCTTGTGTGACATTAAAAGTGGAAAAAACTGATTTTTTGCCTCAAAATATCTGTGAATCATGTCTGAATGAACTTTACCGTTTTTACACGTTTAAAAAACAGTGTCGTGATAATGAAGCCGTATTGAAATTATTTCTTGAAGAGTCGTCCCAACCTGAGGAGAAATACGACCCTGAAGAGGAATTTTCATTCAACATAACTAAAGAAGAAGAGAAAGAAGTTGAAAAAACGCCAGAAAACCACGACGAAAGCCCCAAAAAGCGGAGATACACCGAACCGAAAGTCCACAAATGTGAAATCTGCAATAAAATCTTCACTCGTAGCAAACTCCGCCAACACATGCGCACCCACACCAAGGAGAAGCCCTACACGTGCGAAATCTGCTTCCAAAGTTTCAGTATGCAGGGCAATTTGAAACGCCACAAAATGATTCACACAGGGGAACGCCCCCACGTGTGCTCCACCTGTGGCCGGGGCTTCATCCAATCCACGTCGCTCCACGCCCACGAGAAAGTCCACGCCCAGGAAGAACAACTCTCGGTTGCCAAGAGCGACCCAATGAAATTCCTCTGTTCGTACTGTGGGCGTGGCTTCAAACGCTTCGGCCGCTACAACGCCCACTTGGCGAAACACACCTCCTGGACGAAATACGTCAAGAAACAGGAACCGGAAGAAGTGCGTCAACACATTTGCGAGATTTGCTCGCGAGGTTACAAAACCAAAAACTTGTTAAAAGCCCACAGTTTGACACACGGGGAGAAATCCTTCCTGTGCAACGAATGTGGCAAAGGGTTTTTCACAAAGGCGGCATTGGAGTCACACCTCCGAGTCCACACGGGGGAAAAACCCCACACGTGTCTCATCTGTCAAAAATCCTTCGCCCATGTGGGCAGTTTTGARGCCCATGTCTTAATTCATTCAGGATTTAAACCCTACGATTGCAACTATTGTTGCAAATCCTTCACACAACTGTCACACTTGACCTACCATCTGAGGACACATAGCGGCGAAAGGCCCTTTTCGTGCACTTTCTGTGGCAAAAGCTTCGCCCTTAAGGGCAACTTGACAGTACATGTGAGGACACACACGGGGGAGACGCCCTATCTGTGCCCCATTTGTGGAAAGGGATTCTACGACTCCAGCAGCATGAAAAAACATCAGCGCAACCACAGGGAGCCCCCCACGCAACAAACGTCAGATATTGTATCATAAATAAATTTCGTAACATGAAATTGTGTTTTATTACGGGTTAAGAGGTGAAAGACAKAAAAAATCGTCTGGTTGCTACCCAACAGAATTAATAATAGCATGACATGTGTTTGTTACCATGGATACGTACGTAGTCGCTATGGTAATGCAACTGTTACCATGGAAACGTAGTATTGTAGAGGAATAAAAATGAGATAACCATGGATACATACGTGGTTGCTATGGTAATGCAACTATTACCATGGAAACGTAGTATTGTAGAGGAATAAAATATATTTGAAATAAAATGATACAAAATAAGACCTTAATTTTCCTTATCTTGACTCGATTGACTAGCCTGTGATGTGTTCGCCCCCAGGTCTCCCGTAATGCACGGAATGCTGGGTATTTGCCAGCCCTGTTTGGAGAATCCTGAATATTGTGCRGTCATGGGTTTGATGGGTGATGGTAGATTCGTCCCATCGTCTGTCTCTACGAATGGTAGTACAAAATCGTCCGGTTTTGTGGGTATTAAAGGGGCTTGTGTTATAGTACACGTACTACCAACTGGACTAAAAGGATCTGGAGTAAAACTTGGGGATTTTCTTTTTTCTGGTGTTAATTCATTTAAGCTATTTTCACCACTCAAATCGGAGAAATCAATATCGTAGTTGATTTTCGAAAGACTGTGATCATTTTCAATTGGTGAATTTTTACCACCAACACAAGGTGTGATGTCTAATTGTAGTTTAGTTTTAGCATCGTCGATATTACTCTGAGCGATTTGTAGATTTTGCAAGAAGAAATTTTGGTGAGTGTCATCGTGGACAATTTTTGATTCGGTTTTGAGCTCTTCGGGTGTTTTCCTCGGCTTAATTATAAGTGGAGTTCGTTCTAAAACCGCATTAACTTTCTCATTCATCTCCTCTTTGAATTTTAAAATATCATCAGTGAGTTTTTTCGTCTCATCTTGAACGGTATTCGTCCGAATTGACAAGTCTTTGAGAAGAGATAAATGTTCACAGAGTTGGTGCATCCCCTCACATGCCACTAGGGCCGATTCCCATGCACTTACTGCAGTTATTTCACCGTTCATATAACCCTCGAATTCCTGCTGTGGCATATTTAACGATTCAGCTGTTAAATTTTCAATAAATGAAACGGCACAACACTGAAATCAACACAATTAATTAAAATTGACTCAAATCGTGTTTTAAACTACCAAATTAGTGAAATAATAACCAGCCTCGCCTTGCATTAATCTACTATCGTTGCAAAATCGTGTCACGTAAAGAATATTACTTTTGAGTCGTGCTGGATTTGCTTTTAAAACAATGAAAATGAGTGCTGGTAGAAATTCATCAGCACTAACAGGACCACCTTGACAATGTTGTAAAACTTTGACAACACTCTGACAACAGGAAACAACACAAGAGAGTTTTTCTTGTGGTGCTTTCATCGAATCCATTCCTAGTAAATGTGTGATTGCTGTGTAAACTAAATCTCTAACTTCTATACTAGTTTCGCTAATGCAACAGTCTAAATGGTGGGCATTGACCCAACTAAGTTTGCGTATGCGTTCTTGAATGATTAAATCCTTTTCTTCGTCGTTAGTACTCGGAGGACAAAACAACCAACTAAACAAAAATTGGTTAGTTTAAATCATTGGAAACAACACAATACAAACCTGTAGAGACTAACCATGACATACTTTTCGAAAAAATCCAGTAACTCATCACGGACGTCGGTGGTAACTTCCTGATAAGTTTCCGTATTATTGACTCGATTACTGTACAAATTGTAATATTTCTGTGCCATTTCTGCGATATCCTCGATCGGTTTATTCTCCAACTCGCTGTAAATCTTCGTTGTGAAGGARTGAACACACTTGAAAAAATCCCGACGGACTTGCTCCCCCCACACACCATACAACGAAATAAACTCAGCTGTCAACTTATCAGCATCGGGATTTGCCTGTCTCAAATCTAAATGACGCTCCGGACGACCCGAATCTACAATTATTATTGTATTAACACAAATTATATTATCACTTTTATTTTTAACCTTTGGCGTTCGAAGTTTTCCGAAAAACAGGCAAACTTTTCAAGTATTTGTTCTTCTTGTCGGTCTGTTGACGTTTCTTCTCTTCGAATTTCGAAAAACCGGAAACGACTTTCGTTGGGTCGGAGTGGCGCGCCCCCTTGCGTTGGCGCTCCTGGTCCATGTGGTTGCGGTAGCATTTCGAACAGTACCCTAACAAAAATAAGAAAATTTAAAAATGGGACGCCACTGGACCAGTAAACGTTGCCATGGTGTGGGGATTTTTTGG